TCAATATGAAAATCCCAATAATCAATCAATAATCCAATAATGATCCTAGGGAAATAATCCCTATCAATAATCCAATACTCCAATACAATAGTCAATAATAATGTAATAATATCCAAGTTCAATTCAAAGTGGAAGCATTTATTAAAATTAATGACCACCTCTCGCATCCCTTCCGCTGTGCCGCTCTATCTAACATGCATCCATGAAGAGTAGGTGGGGATTAGCACAAGAGGAAAAGTAGTGCTCACCACTATGCAATAAATGTTATTTACAATAATGAAACAGTAATCAATAATCAAAAGGTATGGTCTCAGCATGTATACGAAGCAATAATCTATCCTATTCTCCCATCAATAATCACAATAATCAGACTCATGTGCACACCTACGTATAGACTACTGCTGACTATATATCGAATGCCCTCCGGTCCTACATCGAGTGCCAGCCAGTAGGAGTAAACCACCCCACCGGCCAAGGTCTTGCCATGGACTTACCAATGAGGATCACCGGCCGAGGGACATAAGCCCTGGTCTTACGGCTTCTCAAGGGAGACTACTCGAAGGTACGTTCTATAGCTACGGGGACAACCGTCCGGTGGCCGATACAGCTCACACCGAAGGCTGCATGATTCACATGCATACCTTGATCATACCAGAATTAAAACAGTAATAACATTTAAGGCATAGAAATTTTTACAATTACAACCCACCTGGAAATTTCGGTAGAATATAACACACGCAAGCGAGTACGTAGGATGAGGCTCGACTCCTCAAACACCTACATTTAGGAGAGATAATTTATCAATAATCTATCTCACTACTCAATTTTTAACATAAAACCCATACTTAATAAAAATTAAGACTTAAGGGTTTTTGATCGAATTTTTCGTAGACTTGGAACTCTCTCATTTTTTGAAAAATAGAACCCGAAAAATTAATTTAGAGTCACGGGACTTAAAATAATTTTTCTCAATTTTTTTCTACTTTGAAATAATTTTAAAAAAATAAGTTTGGGTCGAAAAACGGGCCCCAGAAAACAAAATTTGGCTAAAAGCTGAATTGGGCTGAATCTGCCCCAAAATTGGGCCTGGCTCTAACGAAATTGTGCCACAACAAGCAATTGGGCCGCACTTAGGGCCTGCAGGACGCGGGCCGGGACTGGGCCACCCGTGGGCCAACTGCTAAGAGAGAAATCGGGCCGCGCGGGCCGAAATACGGGCCAAGAAGCCCGCACTGCTGAAATTGGTTACAAATAAAAGAAAAAGGCAAGAAACAAGGGCTGGGGGATTCGAACCCTGCCCCTCATAAATAAATGTCAACGGCTGCACCACTGCACCACACGCTTGGATGCGATTTAATTGAAGACTTGAATGACATAAATGAAAACTAAAGCCTGGGACCTGATAAAAGAACAGAGCTGCAATTTCTCGAGAAGATTGACAGAAATTTTTATCGAACTCAAACAACGACACTTCCCACATCGACCTGGTTTTGGGAAATTCCAACTTTACAATTTAATACCAATCTTAGAGTTCGAAATGTTTATAAAAATCAGGTTTTGGGTTGGAATACGAAACGACAATAATAGGCTCGAAATCAACGAACGACCACTCGAAAGATAATGACGAGAATCTGAATTGCTTGTAGACATCACACAAGAAAAACAATACTCAATTTTTACAATAACTGAGAGTTCTGAATCACACGAATAATTCACGAACATAATCCGACAATCAAAACGATTAAACAAGCCGACAAATGAATCGAACACGAAAGCCAACGAAACAACTCAACGCGAACGAAAATGAACGAGCGATATCAATCTGTATAACAATATACGAGGAGGTTCGAAGAGATTTACCCATCTTCGGGAATCTACGAGCTAACGGAAAAACGGACGAGACGATCGGGAGCCTCGAAGCTCGAGACCTCTGAAAGCGACGCAGCTCACGAACGGTCGCTGCTCTGGAATCGACGATGATGGTCAACCGCTGCGGAGGGTGTTGGCGATGGCAGGACGCTGCTCGGTGCTTGCCGGAATTAATGGCGGTTGGGCTGCTGGACGTCTCACGAATCGAGATTCTTGGAGTTTAACGGCCTTCTGCTCGATGGTGACGGTGGCCGGGAATTGTTTGAGACAGAAAGATCGCCGGGGATGGTGGAGGTCGCCGGATTGTAGGCACACGAATTTTATATTTTTTTTAAATTGATGCGAGAGAGAGAGATAATAGCCTCTGAAATTTGAATGCTCATCTTGACCGTGATATAGATGAGCAAAAAGGAGAACGTACGAGGAGGATTGTGCAAGGAAATCGGAACAGAATGGTGAAGAGGGAGACTCGGTCTTGCGCAGCGAAGAAGAAGAAATCTGTTCGATAAAATGCTCCTTAATGGGCCAAGAAAATCGTACAAAATGGGCCAAAGGAAACATTACCCAAATGGCAATACTTGAATAAAATGATTGGGCCTCAATTGATTAGTCAAAATGGCTGAAGGACTCCCTTCTCAATTGGGCCGAAAAATAGAACTCCAGGCTTGATAAATAATAACGGTTCGGATAATACAACGCAATAAATAGAATTTTTGCTCGATTCGATTGACGACGAACACATTAATACGGAATATATATACATATATGTCACACAATTTTATTTTAAAATAATAATATTAATAATAAAAATACACATTTAGATAAATAATTACAATTTGGCAAATAATAATATTTAGTCATTTAATAATAATAATAATAACCACCTTAGCAATATAATAATAACAAGGAGAACAAAATAATAATAATAACACCAATAATCCACAATCGAACGGGGTATTACATTAACATTGCACTTGATGACTAAGCATCTCAATTTAAAGCCATGTGTATCTTAAAAGTCCACCTCATGCTTCTTTTATGTCTTGCGCCAATTATAAGTAGTGAGAGTTTGGGAGAGTTAACATTTTATCATGTTAAGATCAAGCAATAACCGAGGGCATAAGTGAAGAAAATGATGAGGAAGCTTGCATGATAACTATACCTGAGGGCTAGCACACACAACTTCAAACATCGAGCTACTTTCTATTCTAGCCGACTTCAGCCAAATCAATTTAATTCCATAAGAGTTCTGGGAGTATTATAGGTCCAGTAAAGTCATCCTTTTCAGCCGAGGGCAGCCGGAGGTTAGTCGTTGCCGAGGAGGTCCCGAACAAGGGCCAAGAGAGGGCCCTTGTGCCATTTTTTGAGTTCAGTAAAGTAATTGAATCCTAACCAATTTTTCCAGTAAATACATGATATTTTATGATTTATCATGTCAAGAAACCGAGGTTTGCACGGGTAGAATTAAAGATTCGGATTTTTGAAGTTAATCGGCTTAAAATTGGATTTTTAGCTCCAAGCATGTTTTAGCCGAGATTAGTAGCTTAAAAATCATGATAAATCTTATGTAAAAGGCCTGTAAAGTTTCAGCATGTTTCGAGTAGAAATGCTCGGTCAAGTTGAATGTAATTTTAGCGTATTTTCACTCCCGAACCATGTCAATATCTAGCCGAACACTCCCAAGCAATTTATGTGTATTTGGTCATTATATGTCATGTTATGTCCAGCCCAGTCATAGTTGTCGGACAACCGGCGAAGGGCCGACCATAGCGCCTGCCCGCACGTATTGGTGCAGCGCCTGCCCGGCAGCAGCCTGCCAGCACGCATGATGCGGAAGTGGCTAGACAGCTCCAGAACGCTGCGAGCCGGGCGTATCACGCACGAAAAAGGGCGGCCCGAGAGACGGCAGAGGTACGCGCATTGGAGCGTAGTGCGCGCGGGGCGAGCAAGGAAAGGCCGAACGAGGGTGCGCGAGTCGTATGCACGGACACACGGTGTGCACGGGCACCGGGCGAGACGGACGCAGCGCGAGGCAGCAGCACGCGGGCGATTAGCGAAGACGCGCGTGCAGCAGGGATGGACGAGCGGGGCGCGCGGAGCACGCATGACGAACATGCACGCGCGGAGCTGGATGCCGCATGCCTCGAGGAATGCGGACTGGCGGGGCACCACGCGCCTGATGAGGTGGCTGGCAGCGAAGGCGCGCGCGACACGGCAGGCGGGCATGCACGCGCGAAGGAGGCGGCGCCCTAGTCCTCGAGGACTAGGGCAAGGCGAGAGGCGGTGGACGACCTACGCACGCGTAAGAGAGAGAGAGAGAGAGAGAGAGAGAGAGAGAGAGAGAGAGAGAGAGAGGCGGTTGGACGACTTGGTGTGCAAGCCAAGATATTTAGTTCCCTTTTTCCATTATGATATCTAGCTTAGTTAGGATACTTAATATTTTATTGTTTTCTTCGAGTAATAGATATATTAGGATTAGATCTATTTGGTGCCTTTATAAAGGACCTTCCCCCATGTTATTTTTCATCATTCAAGACATCAATAGAAATCTAGAACTTTGTTCTTCCAACTTTGCTTTAGTCTTTTCACCATAATACTATTGCAATTTTATTCGTTCCAAGAGGCGCTGTTGTGGCTCGAAGAACACCTATCGGTGATTCAAGGCGCGGGTTAGCGGCTTATCGACAGTCGAAACACACGATCCTCATCATTGGTGCTTTCATTGAGAGGTGTTGATCGTGTGTTTTTCTTCTACCCCATTCCCTTTCTTTTTCTTTTCGTTTTTCGTCCCCCTTTATAAAAAAAAAAATAAATAAATAAATATATAAATTCGTTCTTCATCATTATCATCATCTTCAACCACGAGTCCACAAAGCAAGGAGCGGAGAGAAGAAAGAAAAGCTATGGCCAACAAAGAGATGAAGGATAAGATCGATAATCTTGACATCCAGATGCGGAGTATGAGCGAGGTTATGGAAGGAAGGCTTGGATCGCTTGACGAAAGTCAAAACAACACCAACGCCGTGGTCACACGACTCGAACAACGATTGGAGGAAGTCTTGCGCGCGATCCAGCAACAACCACCTCACCGCGACGATCCCCCAAGGCGCGAACCGCGCCGGCACACCGAGCACGCCGATCGCACCCCATCCCCACGATGCGAGGATCGACGCGAGCAACGGCACACGCGCAAACAGGACGATGACCGGCGACGCGAGGGTTTCGAACACGAGGAGGAGTTCGATCAGCGGTCGCAGGCGTCCACCTACCGTGAATGGCCAAAGCCCGACAAGCCGAGGTTCGTAATGTCCATCTTCACCGGTAGTGATCCAGAGGCGTGGCTCAACCGAATTGCGCAATATTTCGAACTGAATGAAACCGAAGGCCACGATCGAGTAAGGTACGCAGCATTCTATCTGGACGGAGAGGCCAACGTATGGTGGCAGTGGCTCTCAAGGATCTACCGTAGGTGGCAACAGGTCATTACATGGGCTGACTTTGAGAGAGAATTGCTCACACTATTTGGCACGTCCGATTACCATAATTATAATGAGGCCCTCGCACGAATCCGACAGACAGGCAGTTTGCGTGAATACATCAAGGAGTTTGAACGACTAGCCTATCGCGTGCGAGATTGGTCTGAGGATGCGCTAGTAGGAGCCTTCGTAGGTAGGCTGAGATTCGATCTAGCCGCAGAAGTCCGGCTCGAGCGACCAGGAACGATGCATAACGCCATGGAGGTGGCCCGTCGACGAGAAGACCATCTGGTCGCTACGCGAAGGGGACGGGCGGATGTGCGATTCGCGGAATCGCGACGCATGGGAACGAACCAAGCCACGGTCAGCACACAGCCGAACGTCAGCAATCGGCCAGCATGGTCGATAGTGAGACGGCTGTCTCCCGAGGAAGTTAAACGTCGACGTGAGAAAGGCTTATGCTTCAAGTGTGAGGAGAAATTTACACCAGGTCATCAGTGTAAGCAAGCTTTTGTGATCGAAGTTGCTAATCCTGATGAGGAAGGATCTGAGGACGAGGAGGAACCACATCGGGATATTGAAGTTGAGGGGCCCGACGAAGAAGCAGAAATCTCAATGCACGCTATGGCCGGGATTAGAGGGCCTCGAACGATGCGGTTGCCGGCCTGGGTCAAGGATCGGAAGGTGGTGGTGCTAGTGGACAACGGGTGGTCGCACAACTTCATCAATGCCGACTTGTCCCAGAAGCTGAACTTACCAACCACGAAGATTGAGCCTTTTGAGTTACGAGTAGCCAATGGTGAGAGGCTACAATGCACCAAATCCTTCCGGAAGGTGCCAATCAGGTTCAGCGGAGTTACATTGAAGGCTGATCTCTATGCCTTACCGCTGGTTGGGCCGGATGTCGTCCTAGGTGTACAATGGCTTGAAGGGTTAGGCAAGGTGACCACCGACTATCAGACAAGAATTATGGAGTTCAACTCCGGAGGTCAGCAAGTCACTCTGAGTACTGGCAATGAAAAAGGTACCAAGGAGGTAGGGCTTAAGAGCATTGAGAAAGTTTGGCGGGGTGGAGGCCAAATATTTGCAGTAGTAGTGGAGAAAACTGAGGCGCACATAGACCAAGAGGAGCAACAGAAGGGAGATGTGCACGAGCTTCTCCAAGAATTTGAGGGAGTACTGGGCGAGCCTAAGGGACTACCCCCACACTGGGAGTTCGATCATCACATACCACTAATCAACGAGCAACACGCTATACACGTTCATCCTTATAGGTACGCTCACTTTCAGAAAACCGAGATCGAACGGCAAGTGGCCGAGATGCTCGAATCAGGACTAATCCAGCATAGCAAGAGTCCGTTTTCTTCTCCAGTCTTGTTAGCCAAAAAGAAAGACGGCACGTGGAGGTTCTGTACTGACTACCGAGCTCTTAACGCTGCAACCATCAAGGACCGATTTCCTATCCCGAGTGTCGACAACATGCTCGATGAGTTAGCCGGGTCACGCTATTTCTCAAAGCTCGATCTGAGAGCTGGTTACCATCAAATTCGACTCCATCAGGCCGACATTCCAAAGACAGCATTTCGTACGCACCAGGGGCACTATGAGTATCTGGTTATGCCATTCGGATTGTGCAACGCCCCATCCACTTTTTTCGCTATGAATTCTATCTTCAAGGAGTATCTACATAAGTTCGTTCTGGTATTCTTTGATGATATCCTGATCTATTTGAAGTCATGGGGCGAGCATCTTGGGCATTTAAGAGTAGTGCTCGAAATTTTGGAGGTAAACTCATTCCATATCAAGCCATCCAAATGTTCATTCGGGCAGAAGATGGTTGAGTATCTGGGGCACTTCATATCACACGAGGGCGTGAAGGTTGATCCACGAAAGATTGAGGCTATGGTCGATTGGCCTAAACCAACAAGTCTCACGCAGTTGAGAGGATATCTAGGACTCACGGGCTACTACCGAAAGTTCGTGAAGGATTATGGGACCATCGCCAAACCCCTGACAGAGATGACTAAGAAAGGCGGGTTCACATGGACCGAAGCTAGCAAAAAGGCGTTTGGGAAACTAAAAGAAGCTATGACTACAACGCCAGTGCTCGCCATGCTAAGGTTCGATGTCTTGTTCGAGGTACACACCGATGCGAGTGATATTGGTATTGGAGCTGTGTTAGTACAAGAGGGGCGACCCTTAGCTTATCTCAGCAAGGCACTAGGAACTACACGATTGGGTCTATCGGTGTACGTGAAGGAGATGCTAGCAGTTGTCGAGGCTGTAAGGTGCTGGAGGCCTTATCTGTTGGGCCGACGTTTTCAGATTACGCACGGGATCTAACCAAGCCGCGGTCAGCGCACGACCAAACGTCAGCAATCGGCCAGCAGGGTCGATAGTGAGGCGGCTGTCCCCCGAGGAAGTTAAACGTCGACGTGAGAAAGGTCTCTGCTTTAAGTGTGAGGAGAAGTTTACTCCCGGTCATCAATGCAAACAGGCCTTTGTAATCGAGGTGGCCAACTCCGACGATGAGGAAGCTGAGGTCGAGGAGGAACCACATCAGGAATAGGAGAGTGAAGTACTTCATGAGGAGCCTGAAATCTCGATGCATGCAATGGCTGGAATCAGAGGACCAAGGACGATGCGTCTACCAGCATGGGTCAAGGATCGAAGAGTAATTGTACTCGTAGACAACGGTTCGTCTCATAACTTCATCAATATTGATTTGTCTGAAAAGTTGAAGTTGCCAACCACAAAAATCGAGCCCTTCGAAGTCCGAGTAGCCAATGGAGAAAGGTTACAATGTACTGAGTCATTCCGGAAGGTGACAATCAAATTTAACGGAGTCACTGTGGAGGTCGATCTCTACACCTTACCTTTGGTTGGACCGGATGTCGTTCTAGGGGTGCAATGGCTTGAGGGGTTAGGCAGGGTAACTACTGACTATCGAACAGGAATTATGGAGTTCAACTCTGGAGGTCGACAAGTCACTCTGAGTACGGGCACCGAAAAAGGTACTAAGGAAGTAGGGCTGAAAAGCATCGAAAGATTTTGGCGAGGTGGCGGCCAAATTTTTGCAGTAGTAGTCGAGAACACTAAGGCGCACATAGACCGAGATGAACAACAACAAGGTGATGTGCGCAAGCTTCTCGAGGAATTCGAAGGCGTACTGGGCGAGCCTAAGGGACTACCACCACACCGAGAGTTCGATCATCGCATACCACTGATTAATGAGCAGCATGCCATACATGTCCATCCTTATAGGTACGCTCACTTTCAGAAAACCGAGATCGAACGGCAAGTTGCCGAGATGCTTGAGTCAGGACTAATCCAACATAGCAAGAGTCTGTTTTCTTCCCCAGTCTTGTTAGCCAAAAAGAAAGACGGCACTTGGAGGTTCTGTACTGACTACCGAGCTCTGAACGCTGCAACTATCAAGGACCGATTTCCTATACCTAGCGTCGACGACATGCTCGATGAGTTAGCTGGGTCACGCTATTTCTCCAAACTCAACCTGAGAGCTGGTTACCATCATATTCGATTCCACAAGGCCGACATCCCAAAGACAGCATTTCGTACGCACCAGGGGCACTATGAGTATCTAGTCATGCCATTCGGATTGTGCAACGCCCCATCCACTTTCCAGTTCGCTATGAATTCTATCTTCAAGGAGTATCTGCGTAAGTTCGTTCTGGTATTCTTTGACGATATCCTGATCTATTCGAAGTCATGGGGCGAACATCTTGGGCATTTGAGAGTAGTGCTCGAAATTTTGGAGGCCAACTCATTCCACATCAAGCCATCCAAATGTTCATTCGGGCAGATGATGGTTGACTATCTAGGGCACTTCATATCGCACGAGGGCGTGAAGGTTGATCCACGAAAGAATGAGGCTATGATCAATTGGCCAAAACTGACAAGTCTCACACAGCTGAGAGGATTTCTAGGACTCACGGGCTATTACAGAAAGTTTGTGAAGGATTATGGAACCATCGCCAAACCACTAACAGAGATGACTAAGAAAGGCGGGTTCACATGGACCGAAGCTAGCGAGGAGGCGTTTGGGAAACTGAAAGAAGCCATGACTACAACGCTAGTGCTCGCCATGCCCAGGTTTGATGTCTTGTTCGAGGTACACACCGATGCGAGTGACATTGGAATTAGAGTTGTGTTAGTGCAAGAGGGACGACCCTTAGCTTATCTCAGCAAGGCACTAGGCACTACACGTTTGGGTCTATCGGTGTACGTTAAGGAGATGCTAGCAGTTGTCGAGGCTGTAAGGTGCTGGAGGCCTTATCTATTAGGCCGACGTTTCCAGATTGTTACCGACCAGCAACCGCTTAAGCATCTTTTGGAGCAAAGGATTGTTACCCCCGAGCAACAGAAGTTCGTATCTAAGCTTATGGAGTTTGACTTCGAGATACTCTATCGACCGGGTCGACAGAATGCAGTAGCTGACGCACTATCCCGACGAACGGATGTAGCTGAGCTGAATGCTATCACTGGGCCAACTTGGACTATTTGGGAGGAAATCAGGAAGGCGCAAGTGGAGGACACCTATTGCCAGGAGCTGTACCAATCGATAGAAGCAGGTAAGACGACTGCTATCGACTACGAGTTGCATAACGGTCTGCTTCTACACAGAGGTTGAGTCTACGTTCCCGAAGGTGGACAGTTACATGAGCAGATCATGCAGCACTTCCACGACTCTAAAATTGGAGGCCACTCGGGTATCTACCGCACATGGATGAGAATAGCCAACACCTTCTTCTCGCCCAGACAACAGAATACCGTCCGAGACTACATAGCACGGTGCGACGATTTCCAGCGCACTAAGTCTGACTCACGACGACCGAGCGGGCTGTTGCAACCTCTACCAGTGCCCGAGGCGATCTGGGAAGACATTACTATGGATTTCATCGAGGGACTACCGAATTCTAATGGATTCGACGGTGTTATGGTTGTAGTGGATCGTCTCACAAAGTATGCTCACTTCATACCCATTACCCATCCTTACACCGCAAAGTCAATTGCCAGGTTATTTGTGGAGTATGTGATGAAACTGCATGGAGCACCACGGTCCATCGTCTCTGATCGAGACCGGATTTTTATGAGCAGCTTTTGGTCTGAATTCTTCAAGTTGCAAGGGACTAAGTTATCAATGAGCTCAGCCTACCACCCATAGACAGACGGACAAACTGAGGTAACCAACCGAACCCTTGAGCAGTATTTGAGATGCTACGTCCATCAATTTCCGAAACGGTGGGAAAACTTTTTCCTTGGGCTGAGTATTGCTACAACACCACTTATCACGAGTCGACCAATATGACGCCGTTTGAGTTGGTATACGGGCGAAAACCCCCGACACTGATCAATTATTCGGAGGGGAGCACAGTCAACGATGAGGTTGGTCGAGAACTAGAGGAACGAAATTTGATGTTACGTGAGCTGAAGAAAAAATCTCGAAGGCTCAATTAATCGAACCAAAGCCTTCGCAGATGGGAAAAGGCGTGAGGAAAATTTTGCACCAGGTGAGTATGTCTACCTGAAGCTACGACCATTCAGACAGTGCACAACAGCACAAAGAGCCGCGACTAAACTAGCGTTCGCTATTACGGGCCTTATCAGATTCTAAAGCGCATTGGTCAGGTAGCATATCGCCTAGAGTTAACGGAAAGTTCACAAATTCACCCAGTTATCCACGTCTCACAACTAAAGAGGAGCCTAGGAGAAGCGCAGAAGTATTGTGAGGAGTTACCTGCAACCGCAACCGATGGTAGGGTCATAGTACGGCCAAAACGAGCGATTGAGTACCGTAAGGTAAAAAGAGCAGGGCGTTATCGTTGGGAAGTACTAGTTGACTGGGAAGAGTTGCCATCCGAAGAAGCCACGTGGGAGGATCTTGACGAAATGTGTGATCAATTCCCGAATTTCATCCTTGAGGACAAGGAAGCACTTGAAGGGGACGGGAATGATGCGGAAGTGTCTAGGCAGCTCAAGAACGCCGCCAGTTGGGCCTACCATGCGCGCAAGAGGCAAGCACGAGTGACGGCAGAAAT